TACTCTCCTGATGGATGAACATTGTTTCTGGATCTTTTGATAAGACAATCAGAGTCTGGGATGCTCTATCTGGTCAGAATATAACAGTTATTTTTAGAGGCTCTGATTCCATCCGAAGGGTAGCTTTTTCTTCTGATGGCAAGCACATTCTTTGTGCAACTGGAAACCGCATAATCAGACTCTGGAATGCTCTGACAAGTCATTGCACATTAAGTCCTCTTGAAGATGATGAGGGTTCAGTTTTTACAGTGGCTTTTTCACCCAATGGCAAGCATATTCTTTCTAGATGTGGGGACAATATAATCAAAGTTTGGGATGCTCTAACAGGTCACACTAAGGTAGATCATGTAAGAGGCCATGAGGATGGAATAAGATCAGTTGCATTTTCTCCTGATGGCAAACACATTGTCTCTGGGTCTAATGATGCAACACTAAGAATTTGGGATGCTCTGACAGGTCTTAGTGTCATGGGTCCACTTAGAGGTCATGATGCCATGGTTACTTCAGTTGCATTTTCTCCAGATGGCAGATATATTGCCTCTGGATCTCATGATTGCACAGTCAGAGTCTGGGATGCTTTAACAGGTCAGAGTGTCATAAATCATCTCAGAGGCCACAATGAAGGAGTTATTTCTATTGCATTTTCTCCTGATGGTAGATACATTACCTCTGGATCTTGGGACAAGACAGTCAGAGTCTGGAATGCACTGACAGGGCAGAGTATATTGGATCCTTTCATAGGTCATGGTGACCTGATCAATTCAGTTGCATTTTCTCCAGATGGCAGATTCATTATCTCTGGGTCTAATGACAGAACAATCAGAGTATGGGATGCTCTGACAGGTCAAAGTATAATGAATCCTCTTATAGGTCATAAGGGTCGTGTTAACTCTGTTGCCTTTTCTCCTGATGGAAGGTATATTGTGTCTGGATCTGATGATAAAACTGTCAGAGTGTGGGATTCTAGCACAGGACAGAGTGTCATGGATCCTCTAAAAGGCCATTATGCTTGGGTTTATTCAGTTGCATTCTCTCCTGATGGGAAGTACATTGTTTCTGGTTCTCTTGACAAAACAATTAGACTCTGGGATGCTGTAACAGGTCACAGTTTGGGAGATCCATTCCAAGGCCATTATGCAGCTGTTCTATCAGTTGTCTTTTCACCTGATGGTAGGCATATTGCTTCTGGATCCTCAGATAAAACCATCAGGCTCTGGGATGTGCATGGAGGCTGCATAGACTTAAATCCCTCAGCTCCTTCAGTTACATTGTCATCCACATTCTTGTCATCTGGAGTTATAAATGTTAATGACACTGACACCCATGACAGTGTATCTCACATTTTCAAGAGTAAACCTGTTGTTTTTTATCCCTCTCCAGGACTTAAATCTAATAATTGGATCATTGGAGAACATCCCAAATCATATCTCTTCTGGGTGCCACCACACAATAAGCATGGTTTATTTTTTCCAAGAACAGTCAATGTACTGGGCAGCACTCCAACTATACTTGATTTTAGTAACTTTGTCCATGGTACAAATTGGACTCAATGTTATTCACCAGCCTTATAATAGGATTCAATGCAGATGCTGGTTCATGGCCTATTTGAACAATCTTTTACATGTTGGTAGAACATTCTTTGAGAGACTGTTGAGATGATATGGTTTTTTTTCTCTTTTCTTTTCATCATTAGGGGCAACAATATTCTCTGGTTTTGAATCCCTTTTGTATATGGTTCCAAAGTTACTTCTGTGTTTCGATGTAGTATCAATGATGTACAATACTATAAGCTCCCCCCTCAAAAAAACATGATTGCACATATGATGACTTTATGCAAAAAGTGAGCCAAAATACTTTGGTATGTACCAAGAAATCAATTCCACTTTGATGTAATCATTTAGGACAGTTTCAAGGATGCATTGACTGACAGTACAAGTTCAACTTCCCAGGTATTCTACCTATTGTCTCAGAGAGCAGTATTGTTTACATTCATTTTGTAAGTATAGGCACCTGAGATCCCTCCATAGTCCAAGTAACCTCGTTATTGATAAACACCATCAGTGATAACTCAAACAAATCCTATCCCACCATTCACCACCCTCAAATCCGACACTTCAACTCCCCACCCACCATCGCAATTGTAGCACCCAAACACCACCCCAACTCCGTCCCTCCAATCTTCTTCCCAATCGCCACCTCTCTCCCATCCTCAAACTCATACCCAAGCCTCAACAACGCATGCATGAACGTTAAATCAAGGCACCACTCTGGCCTGTCTGCGAGTTCAGCCATGAGGTCGGAATCGGCGGCCCAGTGGTTCCGGAGCCACTCGTCGCGGCCTTGGCAGACTTGGCGTGCGGTGCTGGCGATGGTGGATACGGTTATGGGTGAGGAGGGAGGGAGGAGGGGGGAGAGGCGGTCGTAGAAGTAGGAGAGGAGGAGGACTTTACCATTTGGGAAGGAGGAGAGGAGGGAAGGTTGGTAGACGCCGTTGAAGGAGCATGGTTTTAGTTCGCAGATTCTGTGTGTGCATGTATATTAGTAGCGAAAAGAAGAAAGAAAAAAAGAGCAGGGACAGGGAAGGGGGAGGAACGAACGTACGCGTCTTTTGCCAATACGAGCTGCACCACCCGATCACACGCCTCAAAAGACCCAATGTCCCCCCCATCCATCGTCACCTTCCTCTCTTTACCCGTCACCTCATCCTTAACAGTCACCACCCTCCGTGTCCCCTTCGCAAGACACGGATTCACCACCACCGCCTTCGGCTTCGAACCTTGCAACGTCGACATGAAATCCACCAATCTATGGACATGTCTCCTTGCACGCGTCAACCCATACCCCAAGTACGAGTGTTGGTACAACACATGATTCCGGCCACCGAATTAAAGGTCGTATTTATGTTCTCCCTCTTCTAGCTGCATGTCGGAGGAGGCGAAGACAGGCTCGAATACGATTTGCGTAGACGCGCCGCCGAGGTCGAGGACGGCGTAGGTGGGTGTATCGGGGGGTGTGGAGGCTTTGATGGTACCCAAGAGGTAATTGGCCGTTATCCACGCGTATACGCCTTCGTCTTTTCCGTCCATAATCACCACCCCGTCTTTCTCTTGTAACTGGAAAGGATAAGAGGAACGTATCCTCCCTTCCACCGCCTCCAAAATATCAGCGCTCTGCGAACCAGGTAACAATCGAAGTCCAGCGGTAGCTTTAACAGCCACCGGCGTACACCCATGTATAGCTTTGGGCACGACGCGGACAGCTTCGTCCAAGAGGACGTCTAGGCTCCGCGCAGCGCCTTCTGGGTTCCCAGCGAATGAGGACAAGCCAGGTTGCGTCATTTTGAATACTTCGTATTCGTATTCGGGGGAAGGGCCGCAGTTGTTGAATTTGTAGACGTGGATTCTGGAGCCGGTTGAGCCTGCGTCGATCATTAGTGCGTATTGCACCAGAGTACCGGAGGAGTGCGGTTGGGTGCAGTGTGTCGTTGATGATGGGTCTGGATCAGTTTCGTATGAATCTGGGTGGGCGATGGGTGGTTTTGGAGCAGTGACGACGGGTGGATGGTGTTGTGATTGGGTTTGCTGGTGGTGCGTTTTTGAAGGGGACGGCGCTGTGTCGGTTTGGTATCCTTTTTTCGTAATCTTTTCGTCAGTTTCTAGAAAGAAAGGAAATGTAACTTACCTTCCACTTCTAAATCAACGTTCCCATTCCCTCGCCAGGAGAATGTATGCCCCCTCGGCCAACCAAAGCAACGTCACCCCAGCGAGGAGCGCAGCGCCCAAAGCGAACTTCTTCTACGTGAACCTCTTCGTCATATCAACCCTACTCGGCCCATTGTGCCTTCTAGTCAGTCGTAGTTGCTGCTCCCAGGAGACAGGGTTGCCATGAGGTATCGTAAACGAGAGGTGAGGCCTTGAGCTTGAGGTTGTAGTGGGCATTATTGACCGCTATGGCGCGAACAAATCCGGTAGTGATGACTCTCTACCAAATGTAGCCTTTTCGCTGTCCAGCATACGATGCAGTAGCCATTGTTCTCCAAATAGAAGGATCGAGCAAGGATGGCCGTCAGTCTTATCACAACGCGAGGTCAACGTCATGGGCGATGGTCAAGTTGTTATCAAATATCTCGCGAACGTCTCTGCGCATTTCGACAATTTTGCTTATTTTACTACCGTCCTGTTACCTCCAACTACAACTCTTTTACAGTCCGAGATATTTGTCTCCCAAGCCAACTTCTATGCCATCGCCGAAACAGGTCAGCTTGCCGCATAGTTTATCTCCCGACCTCCTTTCATTGCACAATCTTTGGATGTATGCGGGGATCGAGAATGATGTTAAAAATTCGTCCATCCGACAAGAAAAGCAGGTAGTGTGGGCTTTCCGTCCAAGCCTGATGTGTCTTTCAGCAAGTGAAAGGAGGTCACGGCCGAGGAGACGTGAATGAAACGGAGTACCGTGAGACGTATGACTCGACCATAAGGCGACGTCTGACTGGACCCCACCCTGCTCGGAGAAGTCGGACCCCTGCGCATGTGCACCCAGGACGACATGCATGTTCGACGAGATCGAACCGGTCGTTCATCATCCAGCTCCAATCGAATTGATAAGGCTGAGATATAGAGAACAGAACAGATTGGCTGATCTCGTCCTTCAGCAACTCTCAACCCAACTCAAAAGCCAACGAAGGCCCACCGCCAGGACTGAATGTGAAGAGACCGCTCCAGCGTATAGACGGCAATCCCAGTGAGTTATGATGAAGCACGACGATGATTCCACAGCAGAAAAGCAGGTCCCAGTAGCCGTCCCATCCTCCAAAACAGCAATGAATTCAAGTTGAAGGAGGAACGAATCTAAAGGCTGGATCCTCACGCCAGAGAGAGCTCCGAGGGTGAGAAGTCTCTAAATGGCGGTCCTATTGAATTGGGGGTATGTGGGATGCTGCAGGTTTCATCCGAGGTGTGGATGGCAAGATGGAAGATGATGGCGATGGGTTTCTATTGTCGTTGACACTTCTTCATCCGAAAGAATGGAGCAACCTGTGCTTTGGGTCCTTGTAGTTGCCGCTTAGACACACGGCAAACAACTGGCAGAACGCGATGTTGGTGAGGAGTGGACGCAGAGGGTTGGGACGTTCCGGGGTGATGAGCGGAGGTTCTGAGGGTGTGTTGATAGTGGGTGGGGTGGAGGATCGCGTATAGGAATGAAGTTTTTGGGAAGCTGTTCGGGATCGACACCCCGAAACGTATGCGCGGAAATGGCAGGAGACGACAACAGCGGAGGAAACCCAGAGGGTACCCCCCAAGAAGCCGACTGGGGCCTGCAGAGAATGCGATAGATGCTCTTCGGACATAATACAAGAGCTAGCTGTTGGTCGATTCATTAACCACCAGACTAGCATGAGAAGGAGGTGCATACTCACCGGCAACTCCATGTACCTTCCAATCAGCTGATCTCCAGCCACTCTCCCAGAAATGTAGAACATTCAGCGTAAAAGGTACTGGGTTCAACGAGCCGAATATCTCCAAAGATCTCGGATGCTTTGGGTTGTCTTCAAGGCATCCTAACGACGATGCAAGGGTGTTCAAGGTGTCGTTCGCCTGGCCTGGCGAAGATTTCGAAAGCATGACTGATAGAAAGGACAGACTGCTGGGAAAAGTGGGTGAGCTGAGCTTGTTGAGGTCAGAAGGGAAGTGCAAAAGAGGGGGGAAGAGAACACGTAAAATGACGAAATTGGAGGGCAAAATCGGAGGAAAGAAATCGCGAACGAAAGTGAAGTTGCAGTCATAGGAACCAATATATGCTGAGGTTGGTGGAAGACGAAAGCGTAAGAAACGCGGAGAAATGACCAAAATAAAGCGAAAATGAAAAGGACACCCACCTGCACGGAGTCCGAAGGCCCATAGAGTCGATCTTGAGCTTTAGTATCCACATCCAAAGTTAGACCGAAGGCCATGCTCCACTTGTAGACTTGGCTTGAATCGCAACGTGCTGGACTATGAATGTGGAAGGTGGAGAAGTATGTCGAACAAGCTTCATGTTGACCATTGTACATCTTTCCGTTTCCAAAATCAATGTCGTTGCAGCAGCCCCATTCCCAGTCGGCGATCCACTCGACCCACCAGCACCCGCATCCTCCTTCCTCACCACCTCCGTCTCCGCACTAGCGTCGCGTCTTCGTGTATAGCCACCACGAAATGAAGAGCAAGGATCACCACCAAGCTGAGGATCGCAGCCAAGACGCCTATCAGTCTTGGGTCCGTCGTTGATTCGTTTTCATTTGGAATCTAAGCACAGTCAGCTCTTCGGCTAGTGAGTCGCCCAAGGCCTCCTTATCTTCAGGCTCCACCCTCGCCATGCTACCTGCAGCCAACGCAAGTGGTTGTTCCCCATTCGAGGTAACGTTACGCGGCGTCGCACCGAGGGCTCCGAAAGGAAGGCGGGTGTAGAGCCTAGAAAGTAATCGGACTGGCGGAAGGGGGGTAAGTCGCCTGATCGAGGAACAAGTGCGTCGTCTGCTGTTCGGTCGATGCGCATTGTGGGAGGTGGTGCAAAGTTGTGGTGGTCGGGGCCGAAAGAAGGTCGATGAACCCGGGTGATTGGAGCGCCGGTTGGTCTGTGGCTGCTGGGTGGTGTTGGCCTCGCAAGTGGATGGTAGTGATGAGTGTTCGACAGAGGGCAGTGGTGGGTCCTCCGTTTGCACAACGGGGGCGATGTACAAGGATGGTTGGCTGTCGAATCTGTGGCACGTCGTCCGAGCCGAATCGCGAAGGCTTTCTCTGTGCAATTAACCAACACTACAGCAATGCCGCATCCAAGGCGAACAGGGGTTGAGAAGACGTGAGGTAACGTCGAACAGTAGAGCTGGAAGGAATAGCCAAGCCCAGGTGATTGGAGTTCGGTATTGCCGGTGAAAGACGGCAGCAGTGCTCTGGGGTTTCGTAGCTTTCGGGTGAGGTGATGCTGCACGAGATAGGGCCATATTTGGAGGATCAACCTAACTGCCACGTAGTAGCACGTCGCAGGGCTTCAGAGAACTAACATCAGAAGGCGAAACAGGCGGCATGAATGGCAAACGCACCTCAGTCATCCAAGCTGCTTCAGCCGTCAAATGTCCTCAGGCGAACTCGGGAAGGCGAACGGATCACTATATCACCGTACTGTGAAGTCTTGAGGGGGCGAAGGCAATGCGAGCAATAGCTGGCGGCCCTGTAGGTGACCGCGCGACGTGTTGGATGTGTTGGTCGAGGACGAGCCCATGATAATGGTCAGGATCAAACCTGGGTCATATGACAGCCTCACACGTCGGATGCAAGTTGGTCACAACGAGCACGTCTCTTCTTTGACCTCTGTCGTTCGTTGCGGAAAAGGTCCCCTTTGAAACTTGTCCTCATTATGAGCTAGTGCCCTCGGTTGTCTGCTTTTTCTGGCCTACGCGATGGCCGTTTTGTCTGGTGCTCTAGGTATTTTTGCGAGCGTCAGGAGTCTTTCTACGGCGACTCCGACGATCCAGTAATGTATTTTTGTCCCTCTGCCAATTGAACTCTTATCAATCCTTTCGTTAGTCGTCAGATTTCAGCGTTGTCCCTATATAATGATGCCCAGGACGCATGACTTCCTCGCCCCAACGCCATATTCGTAAATGACTTCTACCACCCGTTCACGGCTTTCCTGTCTATGCGCAATCTTCGAATATGGATTCGATAAGCTTCTCCACTTCTGCCGCACTTCCGTTTCTTGAAAACCCGGGGATTGGCATAAGAGCGGTAAAGAGTTCTTTGCTGTTTCGCTAGTATCCGTTCTCCCGCTCATTATTGTGACACCTAAAATTAGGTCCTTTGAGATATCGCAAACCGTGCACTATGTTTTCACTTATGATTGACAGGAAGTTTGACGGCGACATGCTTGGCGATCATTTGGGATAATTCCCGTTTTTAACGGTCTCTCTCAACATAAAATGCAATCCGGATAACCTAGGCATTGAAAAGACGGCGCTACGAGGTAGCATCCGAGCGCCAGTGGCGGAGAATGATGACTTCCAACCACGCAACTGTACTGCCAACTTCAAGCCCCACTCAACAAGCCTCAGGTGCAGCGGATAATTGTGGCTGATCGTTGAACCCCTACTACCAAGTGAGTACTCCGCTTTTAATCATTCCAAGATGTTGTGGACGTATTGCTCAATAGGCGTCAACGTAAAGATGTCACGGCGCGAGTTTGGTGGTTCTTTATTCAATCCTGAGCTCTCGCTGTTTTCGTCCAGATTTGTTTGAGACTGGAACCCGCCTGGCGGCGCGATGTTGCCTACCGAGGTTACCCTGGACAGGATCACTTCATCTTTGATCGCTAGAGGTCCCGTGAACAAGCCAAACATCTTCATCTTCAAAAAATGTTGATGGCTTCCGGCGAATATAGACGTCATGGAGGCTCGCCATGGGGAGGTTGCGGTGTGCCCGGCCTAAGTATAGGCTGAGCACGGTGACCGCCATCATTGCAATTATCAATTCTTTTGAAACTGACACCCAAGTTTAGCTTGCGTCCTCAGTGGACGACAGCCGAGTTCAGTATCAACTGGAAGGTATGCATGCATTCATAATACAGATGCATAAGGCATGTTGCTCACTGGAGTTTCGTGCAGCAAAAAGTCGAAGCGGCGTTTCAATTTAAGTTGTTCCGGTCTCATGACTATCCATCCCGATTGCGAAACGGAGCCGGTCGAGTGTAGAGTGTAGACGGATTAAACGCCGCGGTGCTCCTTTGTGATTCAGTGAGGGTTTAGGGGATGAAGACAACAAATGAGCTCTCCTCCTTCAATAAATTACCTTCGTCTTAATAGGTAACAAGTTGAACTTGGGAGAGAAGCGCTTCCGGCGCCTCTCGAGTGAGCTCACATGATGACCTGCCCTGATCATGAGGCGATGCAACCGCAACCGCATCTCGGCGCCTCTCGTCTTTCTCACCAACCACCATCACCATGAACGTGAACATCGCTACCAGCACCAACAGCACCGACTACATGTTTGGATTGGATCCCGGAGCGGCGGACTTTCTCCGAGATTGCGGCAGAGGTGGTCTTCAGGCGCTCGAGATTGTCGCTATATCCGAGAATGTTTTCTCGCCGAGTTTGAAGGCGGCTGTTACCGACACCTTGGCCATCGTTGATATCACGAAGGTTTGTAGTGCTGCTCGACACGATCTGCTGCATCTATCTAATGGTTAGAAATAGAAATTTAATACCAATAAGAAAGCCTGGGCCGAGCTCTCGGAGAACCTCATCGCGCAGGTCGAGGAGATTATTCAGCGTACCTGTCATTATGGGAAGGATCATGTTCCGCGTGCTTGGCAATCAAGTCTTGAACATCTTAAAGGGTGCGTGATTTGACAGATCTCTTGCTGATACCATTTGAAACTGGGAAACTCATCAGAGTTTTGAATTATTTAAAAGAAAGAGTCGCAAATGTTCAACATTGCAGCCAGTCGAGGAGACTTCCCAGTTTTACGGAGGATATGGCATACATTGAGGAGTTTAAAAGCAAATTGAATGAAGCCATGGGTGCTTTCAATGTATGTAAATTATTCCTATCACTTGGTTGACTCACTCATTGCCCAAGGTTCAGACATCTCAGATAATTGAAGAAAATTCAAACAGAACTTGTATGTCAAATTATCTACTTTTTTACTCCACCATAATTTTTGAAACTTACACAGGGATTTATACCAGCACAGAGACTGAGGCTACAGTAGCCAAACAATCTAGTGAGCTGATTACCCTTCTAATCTTCTTTTTGATTATTCTACATATACCCTTTTTCCAGTGCATCAAGTTAATGTTTTGGCAGGAGCACAGGATATTCAGATGGACAATGCTGTAATTATTGCTGCAAATACTGTGAGTGAAGATGTTCATATGGAGATTCATGCTAATGTGCATATATAGGTCAACTACAATAATGGGGAACTTCCATGCCACATGAATGAGAGAATAGAAGAATCAAAGGTGAGTTATATCAACTAATTGCTTCATCACTGATATTAAATGACTCAATAGAAAAATGAATGGTTGAAAGAATTGAAGGCTCCATCACATCAACAAAGGGAAAGATGCATGCCTGGAACTTGTCTGGATGTGCTCAGAGACATCCAAGTGTGGCTTTGTGATCTCAACATGCCAAATATTCTCTGGCTATCTGGAAGTCCTGGTTCTGGAAAGACAACAATTGCTTCAACTGTTGTTGCTGACTTTGAATCTTTCTCTGGGCAATTCTTCTTTCACCGTGATCAGGCTGAGTTTTGTGATCCAGACAATCTGTGGAGGCATGTTGCTTTGGATCTTGCACTAGGAAACAATGCTCTAGGGAAATCTATCGCTAAGGCATTAGAGACACAGAAAGCTAACATCAGGGGTCTTGATATTTCTATGCAATTTGAGCATCTCATTGTTAAACCAGTTCAAGAGCTGTTTCAAGACACTGCATCCCCTTTTGTTATTGTTATGATGCTCTTGATGAATGTGAACAGTATGAGAAGCTTTTACCTTCATTGAAGTCCTGGTCTTGGCTGCTTCCCAAGTGTCTGAAACTTTTCATCACAAGTCGTCGCTATCTTGATATTCAGAGAACATTGAATTCTGTTAGCCAGCATATTGATCTTCATACTGGAGATAAAGTTTCTAATCAGACCTCTAAAGATCTTGAGCTTTACTTTACCACCAGATTCTTTGACATCACTAGATTGCATATATCACTGCATTTGGACTGGCCTGGTCCAGATAAAATTTCTTTTCTTGTAAGGAAGGCTGCAGGGCTCTATATTTGGGCTAAATCTGCAATGGACTTTATTTTGCACAGAGGTGGTGACACCAAAGCAAGGTTGAATGTCATTTGCTCTGACTCTGGGGAAGGCATTGATGCCATTGACACCTTGTACCAGCACATTGTTTTTGTTGCTTTTCAGGGGTTAAGAGAAGCAGAAAAAAAATCTTTATCATCAGTTTTAGGAGCAATTGTTATTGCAAAGAACCCACTTCGTACAAGTGATCTTGAACAGCTTTTGGGAGTTCAAGATACATTGTCAATAGTTAGCCAACTGAGCCCAGTACTGTTAATCAGTAATACTGGCCATTTGCATATCTGTCATCAGTCATTTACAGAGTTTCTGCTTGACCGAAAGCGCTCTAAGACTTTTTGGGTGGATTCTCAGAAGCATAGTCTCTGTTTTGCTGGATCTTGTATGAAATATATGAGTGCAAAACTCAAATTCAACTTTTTTGATCTGGAAACATCACATATTCTAAACAAAGATATTCCAAACCTGATGGTCCATATTAAAAATGTGAAATCTACTGCTCTGGATCATGCAAGCTACTTCTGGGCAATCTATCTGCAAAAGTGTCCTGATGAGGAGGTATTACAAGAGGAGATAATAGGTCAGATGGAGGATTTTTTGATGAACCATCTCTTACATTGGCTAGAAATTATGAGCCTGATGGAGGCTGTAAATCATGCTGCCCACTTACTGCTGTTGACTGAAAATTGGTGCAGAGTAAGTGTTTTATGTATATATACTATCATGATACTGATATGAACAAATTAAATGTAGGTATTGAAGCCTAGTATGTCAGAGTTTGCAAGTGATGCAAACCACTTTATAATGACATTTTTTGAGCCAATATCTGATGCAGCACCACACATTTACATCTCAGCACTGCCATTTGCACCACAAAATTCTAAAATATCTCTTCATTTCATGAAACATTTTGTAAAGACTTTGACAATTGAGAATGGTCAGATGAAACAGTGGCCAGACAGGTGCCTTCTAAAAATAAAGGGTGGTAATGGTCCACTTGCATATTCACCTGATGGCAGGCACATTGTCTCTGGATCTGGTGGAGGAGCTATTCATGTCTGGGATGCTCTCACAGGCCATAATATCATGGATTTTAAAGGCCATGCTCACTATGCAAGTTCAGTTGCATATTCTCCCACTGGGAAACACATAATCTCAGGATCTTGGGACAAGACAATTAAAATCTGGGATGTTTTAACAGGCCAGTGTGTCATGGGTCCTCTTGAAGGCCATGATCATTGGGTTGTCTCAGTAGCATTTTCTCCAGATGGTGGGCACATTGTCTCTGGATCCAATGATAAGACAATCAGAGTTTGGGATACTCTCACAGGCCAGAGTGTCATGGATCCCCTAAGAGGCCATGGTGATTGGATTACTTCAGTTGCATATTCTCCAAGTGGCAGGCATATTGTTTCAGGGTCCCATGATTGCACAGTCAGAATCTGGGATGCTGGAACAGGTCAGTGTCTGATGGATCCACTTATTGGTCATGGTAAGGGAGTTTACTGTGTTGCATACTCTCCTGATGGAATGAACATTGTTTCTGGATCTAATGATGAGACAATCAGAGTCTGGGATGCTTTATCTGGTCAGAGTGTAATGGTTCTTTTTAGAGGATCAGATCCCATCAACACAGTAGCTTTTTCACCTGATGGCAAGCACATTATTTGTGCAACTGGAAACCGCATAATTAGATTCTGGAATGCTCTGACAAATCACTGCATGTTAAGTCCTCTTGTGGATGATGAGTGCTCTGTTTTCACAGTTGCTTTTTCACCCAATGGCAAGCATATTATTTCTGGATGTGAGGGCAATACAATCAAAGTTTGGGATGCTTTGGCAGGTCACACTGAGGTAGATCATGTAAGAGGCCATGACAAAGCAATAAGTTCAGTTGCATTTTCTCCTAATAGCAAACACATTGTTTCTGGGTCTAATGATAGAACCCTCAGAGTTTGGGATGCTCTGACAGGTCTAAGTGTCATGGGTCCACTTAGAGGTCATGATGCGGAGGTTAGATCAGTTGCATTTTCTCCTGATGGCAGATACATTGCCTCTGGATCTCATGATTGCACAGTCAGAGTCTGGGATGCTTTCACAGGTCAGAATGTCATAGATCCTCTAAAAGGCCATGATAAAGTAGTTACTTCTGTTGCATTTTCTCCTGATGGTAGATACATTACCTCTGGATCTTGGGACAAGACAGTCAGAGTCTGGAATACACTGACAGGGCAGAGTGTCTTAGATTCTTTCATAGGACACACTGATTTCATTCATTCAGTCTCATTTTCTCCAGATGGCAAATTGATCATCTCTGGGTCTGAAGACAGAACAATCAGAGTATGGGATGCCCTGACAGGTCAAAGTATAATGAATCCTCTTATAGGTCATAAGCGTGGTGTTAACACTGTTGCCTTTTCTCCTGATGGAAGGTACATTGTGTCTGGATCTCATGATAAAACTGTCAGAGTGTGGGATTTTAGCACAGGACAGAGTGTCATGGATCCTCTAAAAAGCCATGATGGATGGGTTTATTCAGTTGCATTCTCTCCTGATGGGAAGTATATTGTTTCTGGTTCTTATGACAAAACAATTAGACTCTGGGATGGTGTAACAGGTCACAGTGTGGGAGGTCCATTCAAAGGCCATTGTGAAGCTGTTCTATCAGTTGTCTTTTCATGTGATGGTAGGCATATCACTTCTGGATCTTTAGACAATACCATCAGACTCTGGGATGCTCATGAATCCTGCATAGACTCAGCTCCTTCAGTTGCATTGCCATCCACATTCTTGCCATATGGAGTTATAAATGATGTTAATGACACTGATACCCATCACAGTGTATCTGACATTTTCAAGAGCAAACCAATTGTTTTCTATCCTGGTGATGGTGGATATTGGATGGTGGGAGAAGATTCCAAGTCATTTCTCTTCTGGGTGCCACCAAGCAATAGACGTGGTTTATTCTTCCCAAGAACAATCAATGTATTGAACAGCACTCCAACCACCCTTGATTTTAGTAACTTTGTTCATGGTACAAATTGGAGTCAATGTTTTTCACCAGTGTTATAATAGCATTCAATGCAGATGCTGGTTTATGTCCTCTTTGAACAATCTTTTACCAGTTGGCAGAACATTCTTTGGGAGACTGTTGAGATAATATAGTATTTCTTTCCATCATTAGGGACAGCAATAGTCTCTGGTTTTGAGTCTGTTTTGTATATGGTTTTAGTTATGTGTTTCTACATAGTATATATGATGTACTGTAGCTATCATCTCTCCCCCTACAAAAAATGATTCCACATATATGATATGATGACCCTATGCAAAAAGTGAGCCATAACCCGTTGGTATGTTACAATGTACAAGCTGTAATCAATTCTGCTTTGATGTAATCATAGTACAGGACAGTCCCAAGGGTGCATAGGGATTGTTAACATTTATGGAGTAACTGCTTCCATAATCCAAGTAACCTCCTAATTTATAGGCACCATCAGTGGTAAATTGAATAAATCGGAAGAATCAGCTGTACGGATTTCGAGATGAGAGGCCATGACCAACATAAGAAACCCTAAACTTACTGGAGCTTGAAATCCGCATCTTCGGTTTACCGTTCATTCCCGCCAGTGCAGCGGCGATGTTACATGAGCCGATGAAGCTTCAGAATTTGGGATTTGTAGCTGTAGCAAGCCGTCTAAGGGACCTGCCAATCCCAAGCTGAAAGTCGTGGGCCGTGGCGAGTACTAGACTGGCTACCACTGAGCAGTGCGGTGCATACCTGCAGGTGAGGAAAATATCTGAAGGTGAACCTGGAGGAAGAAAGCAAACGCACCTCCTAAGTTCTCCAGCCCAGAGCTCGAGGAAGCAGCGCTTGCCCTCGGATCGCCAGCTTACAGAACGAGAGAGGCCAAATGGCAGAGCAATTAGTTCGTCGTAGTTCCAGGGATATCGATAGTTTCGATCCTTCAAATGGAAAGATCAAGCGAGAACGTAACAGTTGTGTACTGGCCGACGTTTTGCCAGCACAAGGTCGACGTCAAGTTGTTGATCAATTTCAAACACATCTCACGGGCATCTCGTGAACGTTTCTTCGCATTTCAACAGTTCTGCTTCACTATGTAATTACCGTCCCGTTCCCTTATAACTAGTACTCTACCTTTACAGTCCAAAAAGTATGTCTCCCAAGCCAAGTTTTATGCCATCCCCAATCTCGCCGCATTGTTTATCTACGAGTTTCTCCCAAGCTCCTTCCATTGCCACAACCTTGGCATATGATAATGATGTTGAAAAACTCGTCGGTTCGACGAGAAAGGCAGGTAGTGTGGGCTTTCCGTCTGAGCCTGAAGTAGTCGATGGTGTCTATCAGCAAGTGAAAGGGGGTGGGGGTTGAGGAGAGGTGGGAGCGACGGGGTGGGATCTGGGTAGATGGCGAGAAAGGGTTTAAGGTGACGTTGAAAGGGTAGCGAGTTACAGTCGGTCGAAGTGCAGAGAAGAAAGGTCGTGAGTTGTATCAACTGAACTAAGAACTTGTCAAAGGGGTCGACACCTCGAAACACATGTGAGAGATCCGACGACCACATCACAGAAACGCCGGCAAATCTACGAGAAGCAACTTGGTGGGGTTTGCAGAACTCTGCGATGCGGAGTCTTGAATGCTGAGACATCAACTCAAGAGCTAGCGACAGGTCGCCTTGTCAACCACAAGATCAGCATGAGGAGGCAGGCGCATACATGCGGCGACGTCTGGAAGGACCCCCAGGGCCTGCTGGGCGGAGAAGTCGGACCCCTGCGCATGTGCACCATGCACCAGATAATTTGGTTGTAGGGCGGATGGACTTCACTGGGACGACAGGCATGTTAAGCGATATTGGACCGGTCGTTCATCATCTAGGTCCAATCACATTGAACAGGCTGAGATATTGAGAGCTAAGTGACTGACCCCATCCTTCGGCAATCTCAGCCCAAGTTGAAAGCCAACAAAGTCCAAACGCCAGGTCCGCATGCGCAGAGACAACTTCAAATGGAGAATCTATAAACTGCCGTCGAAGGGTGAACCAAGATGTTGATTCCACAGCAGAAAAGTAGGTCCCAGTAGCCATCTCTACCGTCAATGCCAATGGACACAAGTGGAGGGGGGAACGAGTCTAGAGGCTGAATGGAAACGCGAGAGAGAATTCCAAAGCAGTGTCTCTAAAAAGCGATCCTATTGAATTGGGGTGTGTGTGGATTAAGAACGACGCTGCAAGTTTCATCCGACAAGGCAAAGGTGAGGCGTGGATGGGGGGAATGCAGTGGGATGACGTTGACGTCAGTTACACGGGTACTGCCAGTCTTGGGGTCGTGTTTGATTCATGTTTCTTCTTGTCGAACTCGGAGGAGCCGAGGAGGTCATTGATGGTTTCGTTGTACTATCGATTCCGAGGTTAGACCCTGAAGTCAGTAATAGGAAACAACATACGATTTCGAGGAATGTACTCCCAGCCTTACTCTTCATCTCTTCTGCGACACGGAAGACTTGTTCTACTGCCCAGGGAATCATGCCAGCAGATGCCTCCGACTGTGAAAAAGTTAGACTTCAGGTGGAAATATGGAAGATGATGGTGATGGGGTTCTATTGTCGTTGAAGCTTCTTCATCCAAAAGAATAGGACAACCCGTACTCCGGGTCATTGTAGTTGCGGCCTAGACAAAGGGCAAACAATTGGCAAAAGGTGATGACAGCGAGGAGTAGACGCAGAAGATTGGGAAGTTGGGGGTGATGTGCGGGGGTTCTCAGTTGATGGTGGGTAAGGTGGAGGAGCTCACGTATATGAAGTTTTTGAGAAGCTGTTCGGGATCGATACTCCGAAACGTATGCACGGAAACGGCAGGAGACGACAACAGCGGAGGAAACCCAGGGTACCCCCCAAGAAGCCGACTGGGGCCTGCAGAGAATGCAATAGATGCTCTTCGGACATAATACAAGAGCTAGCTGTTGGTCGATTCATTAACCACCAGACTACCATGAGAAGGAGGTGCATACTCACCGGCAACTCCATGTACCTTCCAATGGGCTGATTTCCAGCCACTCTCCGCAAGGCGTTGACGTTCCGCGTAAAAGGAACTGGGTTCAACGAGCCGAACACCTTCAAAGATCGCGGATGCTTTGGTTTGTTTTCAAGGCATCATAGCGACGATGCAAGAGTGTTCCAAAGGCGACGTTCGCCTGGCCTGGCGAAGATTTCGAAAGCATGACTGAGAGAGAAGAACAGACTGCTGGGAAAAGTGGGTGAGGAGCTTGTCGAGCAAAAGAGGGGGGGAGAGAACACGTAAAATGACGAAATTGGAGGGCAAAATCGGAGGAAAGAAATCGCGAACGAAAGTGAAGTTGCAGTCATAGGAGCCAATATGCACCGAGGTTGGTGGAAGACAAAAGCGTAAGAAAGGCGAAGAAAGGGCCAAAAAGGAGACGATAGGAGGTTGAAATCAAAAAGGACACCCACCTACGCGGACTCTGAATGAAGGCGCATAGAGTCGATCTTGAGCTTGACAATCTGCATCCAAAGTTGGGCCGAAGGACTTGCTCTGCTGGATGTCGAACAGGCTTCATGTTGACCATTGTGGATCTTTCCGGATCCGTTTCCGAAATCGAGATCGTTGCAGAAGCCCAGTCCCAATCGGCGATCCACCCGACAACCAGCACTCCCCTCAACGTTATCCTCCTTCCTCACCACCGCAAAATAAACAGCAAGAACCACCACCAAACCAATGGTAAAGATCGTACCCAAGACGCCTATCAAAACTTTGGTCCGTCGTTTACTCGCTTTCACTTCTAACCATGGTCGGTTCTTCGGCTGGTGAGTTGCCAAAGCCTCCTTATCCTCAGGCTCCACCCCCACCACTCTACTTGCAGCCAACGCAAGTAGTTGTTCCCCATTCGGGGTATGATTAGTCATCGCACCAAAGGCTTGAAAAGAGTCCATAGTAAGAGACGAGCGCTTTGAAAGCAAGGCGGGTGTAGAGCCTAGAAGGTAATCGGACTAGCGAAAGGGGGTAATTCGCCTGATCGAGGAACATATGAGTCGTCTGCGGTTCGGTCAACGATGCGCTTTGTGGGAGGTGGTGTAAAGCTGTGGGGATTGGTGCTGAAAGAAGGTCGATGAACTCGGGTGGTTGGAGCGCCGATTGGTCTGTGGCTGCTGGATGGTTGACGACCATAGCCTCGCAAGTGGATGGTGGTGATGGGTGTCTGATGGTGGTGATGAGTGTTTGACAGAGGACGGTGGTGGGTCCTCTTCTTGCACAACAGGGGCAATGTACAAGGATGGTTGGCTGTCGAATTTGTGGCATGTCGTCCGAGCCGAATCGCCAGGGCTTTCTCTGTGCAATTATCCAACACCGCGGCAATGATACGGCATCCAAGGCGAATAGGAGTTGAGAAGACGTGAGGTAACGTCCAACAACAGCAGCGCTGGAGGAATAGCCAAGCCCAGGTGATTGGAGCTCGGTATTGCCTGTGAAAGACGGCAGCAGTGCTCAGGGGTTTCGTAGCTTTCGGGTGAGGTGATGCTGCACGAGATAGGGCCATATTTGGAGGATCAACCTAACTGCCACGTAGTAGCACGTCGCAGGGCTTCAGAGAACTAACATCAGAAGGCGAAACAGGTGGCATGAATGGCAAACACACCTCAGTTATCCAACCCAGCTTCAGCCGTCAAATGTCCTCAGGCGAACTCGTGAAGGCGAACGGATCACTATATCATCGTACTGTGAGGTCTTGAGGGTGGAAAGCCATTGAGAGCGATAGCTGGCGGCCCTGTAGACCGCGCGACGTGTTGGATATGTTGGTCGAGGACGAGCCCGGTGGTTATGAGTGTTCGACAGAGGATAGTGGTGGATCCTCTTCTTGCACAACAGGGGCGATGTACAAGGATGATTGGCCGTCGCGAATCTGTGGCACGTCGTTTTAGTCGAATGGCCAAAGCTTCCCCTGGTAATTGCCCGACACTGCAGCAATGCCACGGGATGAAATGACAAACACGCGTTGAGATCGGATATATAGGGCTGGAAGGAATAGAGGGGTATTGTGGGCGAAACGTGGTGGCTGCTCTGGGGTTTTGTAGCTTTGAGAAGCCATCCGTGAGGTGAAGCTGCACGAGCTTGCAGCCAGATGTGGAGGACCAACTGAACCGACACGTAGTAGCATGGCGCAGGGCTTCAGAGAACTAAGGTCAGAAGGAGAAACTGGCGGCATAGATAGCAAACGCACCTCAGAGTTATCCAACCTTCAGCTATTAAATGTCCTCAGGCAAACTCGGAAAGGCAGACGAAGCACTGAATTTGACTCAGTCATGGTATTGTGAGGTCTTGAGGGTGTTAAGCCGATGACAGGGATACTCAAGGGATAGGTCCCCACACGACGTGTTGGATGTGTCTTGGTCGAGTCTTGGTCGATGTGCATGACGATGGTCAAGAATAAACATGACAATATCCCACAACACGCTGATCACGACCACCGACACCACCATCACGTATCTTCTGCCATTCGTCATGTTCGCGAAAATCTCCCTTGAATCTCTGCTACTTCAATTTTCCAGGACGACCGCTTTTTTGCTCTACCTGATTGTCCTTCGTCTGGTGCTTCATCTCATGTCTTTCCTAGGTAACGTTCTTTGGAATGTCTCCCTCTGTTCTGCGGGATGGGCCCTCCTTTGGTGCTTCATGTGGTTTCTGGGAGACTTAGCACTCTGAAGTCGTTTCCACGATGGCTCGTTATGTATGGGACGTGAATTAGGTATACGATACAACAGTGCTGTATTCTTCTCCCTACAACCGATGACTACTCTACTGATGCTTCAGAGTTCCGTAACGCCTAAATGATTGAATGAGTTCTAAAATCCTTGCTACGCAGCGTCGTGGAGCGCTATACGGCGCCCCCCCGCCTCCAGATTTTGGCTGGGACTCCATCGATGATATCGTAATGGTCGGGCAATTGCAATATAATAACGGTAACGCTTTTTTTTCTATTCCAAATCCCTTATCCCGCTTACTATCACAATGACCAGCATTATGAACTCTTTCCAACCTCAGGAGCCGTATATGGGTTGGATCTACATGTGTGGTCTGGACACCAACAGGATTTCAACAGGGTACTTACAGAGGTTAATGGAAACTCAGCCGATCGTGAGACGTCCAAGGAACGTCGCACAGCAAACCCTCGGACCTGAGTCCTTGACCTTTGAAATGCAATGGGTGTCATTGGGTGGTCGTGGCTAGGCCTGATAGCTTCCATCGTCAACTTGTAAGGTATCAACGTTTAAAATTGCTGATGTTGCCTATTCGCCGTGATCTCATTCTCAGGTGCTACCCTTTCTGCATATCGCTTTCTTGTCATCTGTTTCTTTCTGGCGCTTCCTGCACCACGCTCATTTTAGCAAATTTGTTCGACAGGTATGATCAAACTCGCTCTCAGGCGGCCTGTCCAATAAATCAACAAAGAATGATACATGGGAAGCTTGGGTAACTTTTCTCTGCACTGTTGATGGGATGAACTTTTCGGTCTAAAATGGACAATTAGCAAGGTAGGCCCACGTCAAGAAGAATGTGCAACTTGGCTCGCTTCTCCTTACACCGCCATACTTCTCGTTCAGGAGGGTGCCCAAGCCGTGCGCTGCAATCTGCTTTCAGTAGCAAGTCCCCGGGTCTTTGGTAGGGTCTAGGTGGGCGCCAGATTTACAATCTCGATTGCGAACAGGGCTGTGGGTCGTGTAAAGACACACAGGTCATTAACGCCGTCAGTTCGGGCCATGAGCGGAATGATACCTGAGGACCATGCTTTGTGCCAAACTTCAAGTTGATGCAAATAAATTTGGAGCGAGAATTGGAATGTACAGTCGCGGACAATCAAACCCCGCTTATTTTTGTGCCCCCTTTTTGTGACCGCCAAACTGAGTCCAGAGCCTTGGTAGAGTGAAAATATACTAGCATTGAATATTAGAAGAGTATTCACACCGGCCATGAGGCGGTACGGGCAGTTTCAAGAATTTCAGCCCAAATTTTTGGCGCGCCCACCAAAAACTCGCTAAAAACATGGAAAAACATGCAATCGACTCTGTTTCGAGCGCTGATTACAGTCCAGTACATAGTTATAAAAAATATCCAATAGATATGACCAATCGAGATCCCCAATTTCATGGGAATTCACAGAAAATGACAAGGCATCATGAGATGGACTGTCTTGGAGGACAATAAGTGCCCGAGTTTCTAATCCTATTGAAGTAATGACTCTTCATAACCCATTTTTTTACCACTTCTCATGGCAGTACTGGAGTTGGTGCAAATACTGATACCAAGAACATGCAAAAAAAAACTTCAAAATGGCAAAAGAGAGTAATCAATGTCCTGGATGCTTTCCGGTCCACATTAGAGACGGCGATCGAGTGTGCCGGGTAATAATTAGATACCATATGGCATATAGAAATTGTCCAAAATTTTGGCGCGACCAAAAATCACGTGTAAAAAACCCGGAAAATTCATTTTCTGACGTTTTCGAGCTCTAGGAGTCCGAATATGAAGTTAGTTTTGTGCCAAAATACTCAAGTCGTGAGTTATAAAACAAGCGGGGTTTGATTGTCCGCGACTGTAGACGGAGGCTGCGTAACTACGCTGAAGCGGTTGGCTTCCTTATCTCAAGGAACTTCGGACCGCAGAAACCAATCGGTTTCCGTGAGCGTCTAAAAGCATTCTTCCGAAATGAAGTTCAAAAATAGATGCGGCGCATGACCACGGCATGAGGCAATGCGGCACCGCAGTATCGTTCCTTCCAGGTCTCTTCCCAACCACCCCACTACGAACACAAACACTACTACCAGTAACAAGAACACCAACAATATGAATACTAGTGAATTGAATCCCAGCACAAACCGACGTCAGCAAGCTGCCGGCGGAGGCGCCGGTCTTCATACACTCGAAGCTGTGGCCGCATCTGATGACGCCTTCCCACCCTTGAAGTTGGCTGTTGTCAAAGCATTGGATATCATCGAGATCATCAAGGTGCTTGGCTTTGCTCTAATCAATCTATCTGACCTATCTATCAATCAAATTAGAAATTCAACTCTAACAGGAGAGCCTGGGCCGCTTGTTCAGATAATCTTACTGGGAAATTTGAGGAGATCATTCAGTATAACTGTCAATTTCACAAGGATCATGTTCCGTCTGCTTTGCAATCTTGGCTTGAGGATTTGAAAGGGTGCGTGACTTTGACTGTTATCATAAATGCCTTCAAACATGAATACTCTGCTAGAGCTTTGGACCATCTAAAAGAAAGTGTTTCAGATATTCACAAGCAGAGTTTAAGGAGTTTTCCCAGCTTCTCACAAGATACAGAGCATATTGAGAAATTTGAGGGAAAGGTGAATGAAATCATGAGCTCTTTCCATGTGTGTAAAATAGCTCCCTGTTTAATTGGCTCACTGACACCAAAATTTAGGTCCTTTGGTATGAGAAGAATCTCCAAAGTATGTTGAAGCATCCATTTTTTGATTCCTCACTTTTTATTATTCTTTACAGCTGACAGTCCAGAGACTGCTGAACAGCTGAGGACCACAGAGGCCAGTCAAGATAGTAAGTTATTCAGCTGAAACTGACACTTCTGAATTTCCCTTATTTTTGTTGTTCATCTGAAAAGGTGCTACAGCAGCTCAAGTAACTGTCTTTGCTGGGGCACAAGATATTCAGATGGATCATAGTGTAATTATTGCTGGACAAGTTGTTAGTGAACATTCTCATTGACATTTCCATGCTAATCCACATCTACATTTTGCAGGTCCACTACAACAATACTGAGGAACTCCAAGAGAAAATCAATGCCATGATAGAGGAGTCAAAGGAAAGTCATGTTAGCCTAGTTACCTTCATAACTTATACCAACCAATTCCTCAGGCAGATAAATGGTTGCAAGAGCTCAAGGCTCCATTACATAGCAAACCATTAGAGAGATGCATGCCTGGAACTTGAGTGGATGTGCTAACAGACATTAAAGCATGGGTAAATGATCTGAGCATGCCAAACATTCTCTGGCTTTCTGGCAGTCCTGGC